AAGGGAGGGGGACGTTCACCAAACTCTCCAAAATAACATTGGAGAGGGGGGGGATGTTAGGTCTCTCCCCCCCCCCCCCTCCACACACGGGCGTACACCCAAAGAATTCCATCTAATTAACATAAAAGATAGTGTTAAAAAAAAGTGCATTGTATATGATTTGACATAGGTAGCCTCATGACCCAAGATACCATAAAAAGGATAGTAAACACGAAAGAATTTCATGTACATTTCAAATAGGTTACAGTTTGCCCCTGTAAGGAGATGACCTCTGATTCACTGGAGGCTGTTTGCAGACACTTTAAGAGGCACGTGTCCCACCACGTGATGAGACCGTGAACTCTACGTGGCTTGAAATGGGGATAGCAGGCGAGAAGAGAACATGATATAGGTATCATGGTCAACAGGCAGGTCTTCCATGTCCAGAGAAGCATGTGTCCATATGATGGTCTTCTACGGACGTTAACACGTGCAGGCCCGAGTTCGTAAGGTGTTGCAGGGCATCAATGTGCTGATATTGCAGACTCGTCTGAATGCCGCGCGTCTGCCAGCGGAGAGAACAGGCAGCATTAGGCCAGTCCATTAAAGAGTTGTTTGCCCTCCAGATCATTCAGAAAGGTTTGGTCCCTGCAGAACTTTTGGGGGATTTTTGTGATGTTGATGAGTGTCTCGTCGTGGGCTTGTGTACCCGTCCGCAGGCGATGCTCGACGCTCGATCATGGTGAAAACGTGAAGCAGACGTCAGTGTAGTTCGTGTTTCGTTGACTTAGCAGTAGCAGCTACAAGCAACGCAGAGGTCTCCAGGTGCTGCGGAAAAAAATAAAAAAATGAGAATTTGTTCTAAATTAACTCTGGCTCTATTACACCGACTATTTACTATAAAATCTTGGAAATAAAATAAAGCTATATTTTAAGGTAAGATTAACTAAAAACCAAGCTTAAAAATAAAGACAAACTTGGTTTATGTTTAAGTCTTATTGCATAATTTATGACTTGCTATAGTGGGCATCAGTTATACACATTTGAAACTATCTAGAAACTTCATTTTGTTTAGCTTCTTGCACGTGCTACTGAAGATCTATTTAATCTCTGCTAACCGACATGATTAAAAATAAAATTGTAATTTACAAAATTTAAAAATATGTTTAAAACTACAAAAATTAAAAACTCATTTCACAAATAATTAAAACTTTCAAATTATTAACTGTTGCATTATGTTTAAACGTTCCATTCAAAACACGTAAGAATTTGCTGTGGAAAATTTAAGTTTCAAAGAGTATTCGCTAAAACATAAAACGTAGATATTACCTGGCCATTTATTTAAACAGTTCAGTAGAGCAGCAGCAGCTTCTCAACCTGCGTCTGGGATGCTCCCGGACGCAGGTTCGAATCCTCGTCACGGCCCTTGTAGATTTGTTCAGCTTCTTCCTGTGCTGATTCACCGCCACCCACGACGGTCAGTGCTGCTTACGAGACTAACGGGGCCTCAGCTTTTATCCTGCAAAATTTTGTCTTATTAATCGGGTTTATTAAATTGTTAAACTACTCATCCTATTCCATTAATCTTACAGCATTGAACACATCTTACAGCACTGGTTTGCTGCGCATAGTGCGTATACTGCGAAGTCTCAAGGCCGTCTCAAGGCTATTAGCAAGTAATTATCAGAAGAAGGCACCAAACCGGGAAGGTTATGTAGCACCATCAAATGTGCGGGATAATCAGAGGCGCTAAATATCACCAAGGACGCCAATACGAGAACAGAAACGCATAAGGCGAACGATATCAAAAGTATTCGAGTCGCCAAGAATACTATCGAGAGAGAAGCGACCGCGGGGGACGGTCGGAGGCTATCTAGCAACAACATTGCTCACAGAAGCCAAACAAAAGCTTAAGTCTTTGCATCCTATGTTCTGTACCTCAGTTTCATCAACACTAGTGTATGCAGCCCGTCCTCCAAAAATGGGGAGGTAAATGTAACAGCACAAATAAGTGCAATTATGTACTATTCATAGCAGTCAAGAATTGTACTTATTTTCACTTAGTATTAAAATCTTAGTCAAATAGTGAATATTTAAGTTTACCTGAAAAACTGAATAGAAAACCACGACCTCACCAAACCGTCTTCGTGTTTGAAGCTAAGCATTGCATTGCTTCTTAATTACAATTAGTACTTAATCTATAGCTATATTGATATTACAGTTTTATAAAACTAGAAAATATCAAATTGTAAAGTAACTCAGGATATTTACAAATTAGGGAGTCCTAACTGAATCGTTAGGGACGCAGTCCCCCCCCCCCCTCCCTCCACGGGTCGAAGTGGCGATGTATGCATTATGGGAGACCTCGGGCTCACTGGTACTCCACCGGGCAATGTTCATAAGGAGGACCTTATGTTCAAAGGAAACAGTTAGTATAAATGGAGTCAACTCAGAGTGGGAAAATGTTGTAAGTGAAGTGCCTCAAGGCTCTGTCCTGGGACCTCTGTTGTTTATAATATATATAAATGATTTAGATTCAGGTTTGAGTAGCAACATTTGCAAATTTGCCGATGATACGAAAATCGGTAGGGAAATTAATTCGGAGGAGGACTCACTATCACTTCAAATTGATCTAGATAGGGTTTTGAAATGGTCAAAGGATTGGCAGATGCAGTTTAATGCTGAAAGATGTAAAGTTCTGAGGCTAGGTAATGATGATAGAGAAAAAAGAGTGGAACTGACCTATGGTAAAGTATCTTGGCTGGAGTAGAGGTGTAAGTCCGTCCGCGGCGGCTGCTGCTCTCGTTTCAATCCCCTACAATGCTCGTTGTTTTAGATTCAGCTACTTAGAACAAAAGTTCCAAAGTAGCACGGGCTATGGTGAGCCCGTAGTGGACTTCCCTGGCACAGGAGCGGGGCTGTAACTGCTACAATGCTCGCCGTCCCCTGCAAATAAGAGAAAAGGGGTTAAGAAAAGCAGATGTGCTTGGAACCTCTACACTTTAAAAATACGAACACAAAAGCTACCAAAATGGCCCGGATGGTACGAAAGGGACACGCAACAACCCTGGACAAGCCGGACCAGATGGGTTACCTGCTTTACACCTACGACTGATGGAGGAGGGGGGGAGGGGGGGGGAGGTACTTAAATAAAATTGCTTGCCATTACCTTTCTATAAATCGTCCAAATTCTGTTATTCTACTGTTGCTTGTAAGTCCATAATACTACACGAGCGTGTATACACCCACACAACTTGTGTATTTAACACTATACAAGAAAATAGTTTGAAATTAGACCTACATTGCCCACCTGCGCCTATTATTACAGTCTTTGCAGGGCCCTAGGAACACTGAACGGAGGGGGATGGAGGGGGAATAAACCCCCACTAAAGGGGTAACAGACACACACAAGGGGAAAGGGGGACCATAAAAAATCAAGACTTCCAAAATCCACTTGCTTGAACAGACTTATAAACCCACCCTAAGTGGGTAGCTATTTATAATATTCAAGGATACCAGCCTTTGGTCAAGTAGTCGAGTGTCCCGAGTATCATGGGAGCTGCCATGGTACCATCGCGTGCACTGTAGTCCTCTGTTGCAGAGGGTTGCATGGTGCAGGTTACAGACTCTGCAACAAATATACTTCTTGAGAGCACTCTACCTTCAAAAAGAAGTTTACTTTAACATTGGATTGGCTATCAGCAGCCAGAGAACAATGATTTATACAAATATTTTCAACAAGACTTTTGTGACAGTTTATATATATATTCATATTTTAATATATTAAAATGGCCAGATTCGTGTACGTCACTACTCCCACGCTGTAGATGTGGGTGTAGTAACAAAGGTTACTAGGTTACTTACAAAGGTTCACATTACCTTTGAGTTCACATTGCCTGGTGATGCCAACCCAACCAAATGTAGACGGCACCACACTTCCCACACCTGTCGTCGCTCAGTGAGGACACTAAGTAATCTAAAAAGAGAAGTAACAAATCTTCAAGAAAGGCAAGTATTTAATTCAAAGTTACCTGCCAGATTTTGTGGCCAATTACCCTCAGTTTGACACGGTAGGTAGTGCAATACTGGCACACTAGGAGGCTTCCCGCTCTCACCTATTGCACGAGTGCCAGGTGGATAAGCAATCAGGTCATGTGTAATTGGCTGATAGCACAGGTAAACTATTTAGCTTAAGAGACGTTTGTGGCCCATTTAACCCACTGTTGATGTGTGCAAAATTAGCTATATATAACAAAAAATTGCTTTGCGTAAAATTTTAGGGTTCAGTTCCAGAGCCAATTTATTGGAATTATTAGGACCTATTAATAATAGGTATCAGGCCTATTCTACTACCCGCCAGCAGGTTGGATACAGGTGGGTCCTCTATCCCTCCCCCCCTCGTCCCCTGCAGGATGGGTACAGCTGTTGTATAATTCAAAAATGTTTACCTTTCCAATGACTCCGTAAATCTATATTTCAGGGAAGCCGCGAAGAACACCGGACCTGGAGAGACACCACGAAGCAGCCCTTACCCCAGACTGGAAAGGGAGGAGGGGGTGGACGAGCCCATACGCCAGTTCAGGCCACATTTCTATAAAAATAAATCAGAGCTAAATACAGATTATGTAGTTGGGCAATATTTTAAAGTGAAGCGAGTGGACGTAAGAGGACAATGTCTAAAACTTTAGTACAGATTTTCCATTGCTGTATTAATACAACACGTGTTGAAATCACCTTAAGGCTACTGGCATACGTCCTGTCCTTTTAAGCACCTGGAGATGGTAGCCCTCTGGCAAATTCAGATTAAGCCTCGAAAATACTTGCATAATTGTAAACAAATCACCGATTTAAGAACAAAACACACATTTAAGGGCAAACAAGCGAAAAGCATTGTCATACTGAACTTCAACTGCCATATGTATCTACACGTGGACGATAAACTCGTTACCACGCACCTCGGGTCTGAGGACAATCGCGCATCTACCCATCTCTCGCCTACGATAGCTGGGAAAAAAAAAAAAAAAAAACAACAACCTCAAAACAACCACTCAGCGCTAATCAGTAAAACAACCACTAATCCAACAGTCAGCATGCAGCACCTATGTTAATATACTTAACTTTAATATCCTTATAGGATATATATATATAATATCCTTATAATATGTTGTGTTAATATCCTTGTACCCCACACACCACATACAAGCTACATATATTCAAATATACTCAACCTCTATAAATCTAGTGCACAGTTACTAATCCTGACGACTTAAGAGGTACAAAAGAACCACACACACACCACACACCACAAAGGAGTGTGGTATTACGAGAGTAACAGTAACATGCTGGGAAGTATCTCCCAAATTCCAATATGGGATACTTGCCGGAAGACCCCCCCCCCCCCGTACTGTGCTTTTGGTTGGGGGGGGGCGTTGATAGATATAGGGAGGGAGGCGCTTGAGAGCGACTGCCAGTGGGGGGGGGAGGGAGGGAGGCACTTGAGCGCGACTGACGAGGGAGGGGGGGGAGCCAGAGGGAGGGAAATGGAAGGAATGCCGTCACGTGTCCAAGATAAAACACTTACCAATATTATTAACAACCATTAAACCTCAATTCCTGGGCAGCCTAACTAAAGTCTCTGGAGGCATCATCATAAACTACCGTCCTACCCATTTTTAGGGGGTAATCTCACCTCTGTTAGCTTAGAACTCTTCAACTACCGTTGGGCAGAGACAAGCACACGTTTATGACAGTTTAACAATCCTACAGTGGACCTAATATTGTTAAGGATTTACAGGCAGGCCAGCGACCATATCACGTAGGTCCTTCCCTCGTGCTGGACCTGCCTAGCGTGGGAGACACTATTATTAATAGGTCAATATATCGGTCAACTGATACCGATCCAACTATGGTAATATTCCACACCCTAGCCGGGCTCTATAGCCTTACATAACACTACATATAAACTAGTTGCGTTGCCCGTTCCATTTTTTGGTCATTTGATCCTTAAACACGATTAACCTTTCTCTTAGGCTTCTTTTTCACACTAAAATTGTAAGCCAATGACACCTGACTGCCTCCACGCACACTGTATCTTAACCAAAGGACAGACAGACGCCATTAACACACACACACAACTAGCACGACCCGCGTGGGGTCAAAGGCTGGAATATTATCACCTTCAGTCGTCAATACGGGCCTCCACGAGCACCGGTTGCTCACCTCCTCACTGGTCCTAAGCCGGTGTGACACTGAGTCCCTCGCTATAAGTGTTCGGTGACTCTCTCAGTCATGATCAGGTGTCATTCAAGAGAACGAAGCAGCGGCGACTGGTCGTTCCAGGTTCAGCTTGACGGTTGTCGTCAAGAATCAGTCCGTCCCTGTCAACAAAAGGTCAAATGCTTGTTAATCCAGCGGCCAAACCTCATGTATATTAATGAAAAGCAGTTTACACACGACTCACAACTGATGACGTCCGAACACTTCCGGAATAAGTGCTTCGCTCACGTTTTCTGTTCGAACGACAATTCTATAAATGCTTCACCCACGTACTTCAAATACAAATAATCGCCGACAGAACCTAAACACCTAACCTATGAGTTTATCTTTACATAGAAATTTAATATATAATTATATTAACTTGTGGGAACACACGAATTTTTATTAACACACTCTTAAAATTGATAAATGTGTACTCACCTAGTTGTACTCACCTAGTTGTACTCACCTAATTGTGCTTGCGGGGGTTGATCTCTGGCTCTTTGGTCCCGCCTCTCAACCGAATGTGTGTGTGGGGGGGGGGAGGCTGCCGCTCTAACGAGCCTAGCCTGAGGACGGGTTGCAAGGATTAAAGGTCGTCAGCTCCACAACATCTTAGTCAAATAGTGACATTAAAACCTGTACACAAGTCAGCATTTGACGTGATTAAACCCGACCATGATGCACTATGCATATTTAGACAATATATATATATACACACATGTATTTTATCACTTGCTATAAGACAAAAAAAAAATGGTCAGAGAGTAGACACACTAACGTGATTGCATCAGTGAGAAAATCCGATGAGGGTTCGAATCTATGCGGTGGGTGTTCCCAACGTACACGCTTCTAGCGACTAGACCACGCCATGGTAATAAGGATTGCAACCTGGAGTTCTCCTGAACATACAAGGATTTCCTGAGGCTTCTACTGAAGTCGGAACAGGATTTTCACACACTTCCCCCTCCTCCCCTTCCCCCCCTGGACATAGATGACAGAGCCAGAGTCTAGTCGCTAGACTAGACTCTGGGGGGGGGAAGGGGTTTGTGCGTGAGAACACCCTCCGCATAGGTTCGAATCCTTATCCCTGCTCCTACAGATTAAAACACAAAATAAGTATTAAATAGTAAACCCCCAAAAATCAGGAAATAGGGGATTGGATTTGGAACGATCCCAAATTTTTGAAGCGTCAGAGTATAACATTATTGTAATATATTCCAGTCCTCCCACATGTATGTCTCCCAGGTAACATCTCCTACAGTAACATCTCGCCTCCAGTTCACCCACCAAGCCGGTCCTCCCACATACATACACGTGGTTGATTGACGGCTGAGAGGCGGGACCAAAGAGCCAAAGCTCAACCCCCCGCAAGCACAAATAAGTGAGTACACACACATACTCCTCATCAACACCGTGAACATTATTATATCAAGAATTAACACACTAATTATTTAACTATAAAATATAAATTAACACAAAAATTAACAAAGTCATTATCAGACTTTTAAGCAAGACAACAAAACAATGATTAATATCCATTGATGATTAATAAAACAAAAGCAGAGCAGTGAGTCTGAATACAATCAACAAACATGAACCGTATTTCTTTGCCCAATTCTCAGCAACAGGACTGATTGTGGTGTTTCATAGCTTAATGTTAATAGTCGGGTGCTCCACGGTCTAGCACGGTCTAGCACGGTCTAGCACGGTCTAGCACGGTCTAGCAAGGTCTAGCACGGTCTAGCAAGGTCTAGCACGGTCTAGCACGGTCTAGCACGGTCTAGCACGGTCTAGCACGGTCTAGCACGGTCTAGCACGGTCTAACACGGTCTAGCACAGATGCAATACACCAGCAATGTCTACCGTGAGAGATGTAGGGAAAGCACCGACCCCAATTATGTTATGCAATGCATTGGTTGCAGATTCCATTTTTGTCCAATACAATACATAGGGTTTATTGATGAGATTTCTTGGGGGGATCTCACCCAGTTCACATATATACAACAGATGTATTGGACATTGGGAACAGTGTATGAAGACCCAGTATTTGCACCTGACCATACACATTCGTGTATTTTTCCTTAAGGTTATTGAAGATATAGGACGTGATTGGAAACAGCTTTAATTTCCTAATTGTTTTCTGAGGTGCGTGACATGGGCTCGAGCTTGTGGGAAGGGAAGGATTCACCGTCGACTTTGTGGACGATCGGGGGATTGAACGCCGACCTGCATGAAGCGAGACCGTCGCTCTACCGTCCAGCCCAATTTTTTTTTCTGACTGAGCGCGACCCCGCAACCATGGAAGTTCCGCAAGCTTCATTTTCCACATAATGAATTCATCGATACACAAAAGTACGGAAGAAAGCCGCTCCTGTATCAGTACTGTACCCTCGCTAGTTGTAACCAAGCCGGGATGCAGAGCACCAGAAGGCACAGATCACCTGCTCAGACGCGCGAGCTGGCACCGTTATTAGTCAACAAAGACAAGGTGACTCATGGCCGCCTTAAGGTCTTGACGTGACGCAGTAGCAGAGACTCCGTGCGGGACCCCTCCTTCCTGTAACGGTACGCGGAGATCCTGGCCAGGCACGGACACCTCGCTATAGTCTTGTCAGCCTGTCTGTCACCTGGTTAGCCGCCCCAGCCAGCCGGCCAGCCAGCCAGCCGGCCAGCCAGCCAGCCAGCCAGCCAGCCAGCCAGACCTACGTCACAATATCTCTATCATCCAGTCTTATTCGCTTCTTCCTAAATCATTTATATCCACCTTTACTCCCACCTCACGGCTTTGTTCCGCGCGTGAGATTATACGCTCTGGCGTAAGGAACAGGAACTGCGTGAAATGAACGCACCTCCTTCCAAGACGATGACAAGCTTCGAGGCATTCCCCTCCATTACCTGAAACATGCTGAGGTTCCTCGCTTCTCACTCTACTCGCTTAAGTGCCTCCGCACAAGAGGGCTTTCACGCGAGACTTGAATTCTACAAGAGATTGTATTCATCGAATTGTATTGTATCCTGTGATCGTTGGCCAACACCAACAGTCTGAGCGTCTGGTGATACCGTAATGACGAGGCAATATATATTATATATATATATATATATATATATATATATATATATATATATATATATATATATATATATATATATATATATATATATATATATATATATATATATATATATATATATATAATGTCATTTACGTCTACGTCATTTACAGAATCAGTAGCGATTGGTATTGATAACGTTTAGCTTGGATGTAAATGATAATAGAGAATTGATATACAAGATTACTTTCAGTTTTGTTAACTGCTGGTTCTTGGAAGGGCTCAGAGCAGTCAGACACAATGGGAACAAATCAGTCACTGCAATCAAGCCACCATTTTTTGTCAGGGATGGTGAGGTGGAGGGGGGGGGGGGTTGAAGGAGGGGGGGGTTTGGGGGGTGTGGGGGGGAGATGATCACATGTGATAAGACTCAAGGTCGTTAGCTTCTGATTTTGTGAGAGATGCATTGTTAGTAACGTCACGTCAGGCGTTGATGTATCGTTGGTGACTCTCTCTCTCTCTCTCTCTCTCTCTCTCTCTCTCTCTCTCTCTCTCTCTCTCTCTCTCTCTCTCTCTCTCTCTCTCTCTCTCTCTCTCTCTCTCTCTCTCTCTCTCTCTCTCTCTCTCTCTCTCTCTCTCTCTCTCTACGACAAGTACCTTGCCGCTCCCACTCGTTTCAATAGACAGCTACTAAACACACGGTGTGTGTGTGTGTGTGTGTGTGTGTGTGTGTGTGTGTGTGTGTGTGTGTGTGTGTGTGTGTGTGTGTGTGTGTGTGTGTGTGTGTGTGTTTGACAGTAACACGTGACAGGCTGAATACGACCAGGATTACCAGCACACGGAAAGAGGAGCAGAAGAAGGAGAAGGAGAAGAAGGAGGAGGAGGAGGAAGACCTGGTATGGGTTGTATGCCGTGAGAGAGAAGGAGGAAATAGTGAGGAATGCTGGAGACACCAGTGGACCAACACAACCATAACAGGATCTTGTCTAGGATCTTGAGTAGGATCCAGAGTAAAATCCAGTTTAGGATCTTGAGGAATATGGAATGTGAGAGAGAGAGAGAGAGGAAGGAGGAGAGCTACAAGACAGAGTGATCAATCTTGTATTGGGAGGAGGAGATGAACTAGAGATAAGGTAAAGGCAGAGGTAATAAAGCCGGGGAGAGAGAGAGAGAGATAAAAAGAACTAGGGAAAGGAACTATCAGGAGACAGCGCCAAGCCATTACGACTAGAGAGAGAGAGAGAGAGAGAGAGAGATGCTCATCTCGCTGGAGGTTCTGAATGAAGGCGTGAATGAACCCAAGCAGCCAACAGCAGGAAATACGTGGGGGGGGGTCGTCCCCCTCCCCCTCTATGCGTCAGTCTTGGGGGGGGGGGGGGGGAAGGGGGGGGGGGAATGGTATGAAAGGGGGGGGGGAATGGTATGAAAGGGGGGAGAACATGTAGGTATATAGAGATGAGAGGACGAGGGGTGATGGGGGGTGGAGAGGGGGGGTAAAGATAGGGGAGAGAAGGTGTAGGTATGGGTATTAAGGGAGGCGGGGGTGCCATGGCCATGGGGTGCGGGGGGGGAGGGGGGGGGGAGCAATAGCTGTGCAAGGGGGAGAAGTGAATGAACAGGTTGTTGTTGTTGTTGTTTTAGATTTAGCTACTCAGAACGAAGAATCCATGTAGCACGGGCTATGGTGAGCCCCGTAATGCAATGGAATGATAAAACGAATGCTATGAATGGAGAGAGAGAGGAGAGGAGAGGAAGAGGAAGAGACAACAGGTCAGGTGTGATGACCCTAACAAGAGACCGGAGGAATGTGTCATCATCGTGATGGTTGTGCTTCAGCTCTCGGGCCCACAGTACCAGCCAGGTACCGACACAGTACCAGCCAGGTACCACACAGTACCATACACGCATCATCTACCACCAGACATACATCATGACAGTACCAAGCTTAGTACCACAGGAAACGACTGGTATCATCAACATATGACCAGCACCGGACGCTCCCACACCAATGTGTCCCATCCCCTGCCCCTTAGAGTGGGAGGAGGATGATGGTAAGGGGTACACACACCCC